CGTAAGCGCAAAAAAATTGGTCATAACTCACTTTTTGTCAGCGCTGGATGTAGCATTGCAAGCGTGGCCTTACCAAGGCATCATAAATGGTATTAACACTTTGTGTGATCTTTATTTTATCCCTCTGTCAATGCAGCCTAGGATTGTGTTAACCTTTTGGGCAGCTGCTGCACACGGCTGGCTCATATTTAAGGGATTGTCCAGTAGGACTCTTAAGATCCCTCTCACAATTGCTACTACTGAGCAAAGTATCATCTTGGTTTTTCTTGCCTAAATTTAAATTAAATTTCAAGTCAGTGTGTGGAGTGTGAGAGATGTGTGTTTGTTTATTTTCATAGTCAGAAATTGTACACCGAAGATAGTATTTAATTTCACTGTACGAGGTGCAATGACAGTAAAGTTAACTAACTAAATGTAGATATTTTTTTTTAAACCATTAAATTTCATTTTGTTACATAGCACCCAGTGCTCAAGTCTGTCAAGATCCTTCTGTATCTTAAGCCTATCTTCTGGCTTATTCCTGCTATTCCGAAGAAGGGATTGGATGGCCATTTGTCTGAAATCTGGAATGATATAAGCTCTCTTGCTTGAGGTTGGACTAGAAGACCTCCAAGGTCCCTTTCCAACTCTATTACTCTGTTATTCTCCTTGTCTTCTGATAGGAAAGTCTACTATGCATTGGTCCTTGTAGGGAGCGGCCTTCCTCACGTCCTTAACTGTCCTGTTTTTTTGAAAGGTTGCCCTTGTCAATGATTCAACAAAACTGGGAAATGGAAAGTTAAAAGCCTGAAAGGAAAGCCAGATGGAAAAAAAAAAGAGAAACGCACAATTTTAATTTATGTAATTTTTAAAGCCGTTTGAACAAAGCCAGCCTAGGAAACCGAAAGCTAAAAAAAAAAAACCCTGAAATGAAAGCTGGTTGAGGAACAAAGAGAACTATCCTTTAAAAAAAAAAAAAAGACATGTTCTTTGCATCTTGTTTGAAAAACCAGGCTAGGAAATCGAAAGCTAAAAGCTGAAAAGAGAAAGCAGCAATGGGGAACAGGCAATTTTTCAGACTCTATGTTGTGGTTTTGTTTTGTTTTTTTGTGTGTTTTTGAGGGTAGGGCAAACAAAGGATGCAGTTGGGGACAAAGCCAAATATAACAAAAAGAGAGGGTGAGCAACCAAAGTTGTGTTACTGTTTTATGGAAAGTTGCCTGGGTAAAGTTTTCATGCGTGTCTTCTCAGGCTTAAATCTTCTACTTTTTAACCTTTTTTTTTTTTTTAAATGAATTTCATGGACTTGACTTTGCAACCATTTGTCCAGAATGGTATATAGGATTTCTGGCTTGAGCAGGAGGTTAGACTAGAAGACCTCCAAGGCCCCTTCCAAATCTGTAATTCTATTATTCTGCTATAGTAATTGCTTTTAAAAAAGCCTAAGTAAAAGCTACTTATGACCGGTTCCTGAATTCCAGTGTCTGAAGATATAAATGAAAATAAAAGTTCGACTCTTTTACCAATTTTAAGTCAGGAGTTTGCTTGGAATATTAGCTGTTCACCTGAACTAAGCTGAGTTTTTCAAAAAGAGTCTGAACAACCATTTGAGTGAAAATAATGATAATTCAGTGTGGGTGATTAAATTTTTAAAACTTCAATAATTATAATTAACTATATGCAGTTCTCTAGGTGTGGTCTTACTAAGGCTTTTAACAGATTAACAGAGTAGGAAGGGACTGTGTAGGTCATCTAGTCCAACCCCTCACCCAAGCAGGAGGCCTACACCACTCCTGACAAATGGCAGTCCAATCTCTTCTTGAAAGCCTCCAGTGATAAAGCTCCCACAACTTCCAAAGGCAACTTCTGTTCCATAAGTTGATTGTCCTCACTTTTAGAAAATTTCTCTCTGTTCAGTTTCCATCCATTATTCCTTGTCTGGTCTTTGGGTGCCTTGGAGAATAGCTTGTTTCCTGTCTCCTCAGGTCCTTCTCTTCCCTAGACTAGCCATGCCCAGTTCCAATAACCATTCTTCATATGTTTTAGTCTCCAGTCCTCTAATCATCTTGGTTGCTCTTTGTACTTTTTCTAGAGCCTCAACATCTTTTTTATAGCATGGTGACTAAAATTGGATGCCGTATTCTAGTGTGGTCTTACTAAGGCTTTATAGAGTGGTATTAGTACTTCCCTTGATCTTGATTGTATCCCTCTGTTAATGCAAGTTAGGATTTCATTGCCTTTGTTGACTGCTGCTTCTTCACACTACTGGCTCATATTTAGCTGGTTGTCCACTAATATTCCAACATCCCTCTCACAGTGACTGCCATTAAACCTGGTTTCTCCCAGTCTATATGTGTACTTTTGGTTGTTCTGCCTAAGTGGAAGACTTTACTTTTCTCTACATTGAATTTCATTTTCTTAGTTAGGACCCAGGGTTCAAGTCTGTCCAGATCCATCTGATCTTGAGCCTATCTTCTAAGGTGTTGGCTATTCCTGCCAGTTTAGTATCATCTGCAAATTGCGTAATTTCCTCTTCTATTCCCTCATCTGTCGTTTATGAAGATATTGAAAAGTACTGGGCCTAAGATGGAACTTTGTGGTACCCCACTGCTTCCATCCCTCCACGTAGATGTCGTACCATTAAGGACTACTCGTTGAGTATGGTTTGCCAGCCAGTTAATTATAACTTTTAAAGCTGCAAGGATTACATTTTTTTAGACTGTAGCTTAATAGGTGACTGTCTAATTACCTGGCAAAATTATTACCCAATTCCCTGATTCTGTAAAGGGGAACTACAGTAGTAATTTTGGATTTTTTTATCGCTATTTTCTCTTATGGAGGCCTGCAAGTGAGAGTTTGATAGCCAACTGGTGGCAGTATCACCTGCAGTGTGAGCTGATGGCCAGTAGGTGGCGATCTCTAGCTTTTCATGGATGCTGTGTGAATCTCTTCTATGTTTCTACCTTTAGGTGGGATCATAATTGTGAAAGTTTTAAAAGTAGTCACTGAAGGAGGATTAATATACCTATTTTGTGGGGAAAACCACCACTTCCATACACTCCAAAAATGCCACACCAAAAACAGCAAAATCAGGGTATTACTTACAGCATTACTTGCAATGCACTGCTTCTACTGGGTATTTTAAGGGAATGGGCGGGAGAACATGGAATAATAGAGTTGGAAGGGACTTTGGAGGTCTTCTAGTCCAACCCCCTGCTCAAGCAGGAAACTCAATACCATTTGAGACTAGTGTCTGTCTAGTTTCTTCTTAAAAACCTCCAGTGATGAAACTCCCACAACTTCTGAAGACAAGTTGTTCCATTGGTTGATGGCTCTCACTGTCAGAACATTTCTCCTTATTTCTACAGTAGGTTGAATCTCTTTGTGACCAATTTCCATCCATTGTTTCTTATCTTACCTTTTGGGGTTCAGAAAATAGCTTGATCCCTTCCTCTTCTCTGTGGCAGCCCCTCAAATATTGGAAGACTGCTATCCTGTCTCTCCTAGTTCTACACCAGCCATGCTCAGTTCCTGTAACCATTCTTTATATGTTTTAACCTCCAGTCTCCTAATCATCTTGGTTGCTCTTCTCTGCACTCTTTCTAGAGTTTCAACATCTTTTCTGTATTGTGATGACCAGAACTGGATGTGTGGTCTTTGTAAAGCAGGACTAATAGCAATAGCAATAACACTTATATACCATTTTATAGTGCTTTATAGCCCCCTCTAAGCGGTTTACAGAGTCAGCATATTGCCGCCAACAATTTGGGTCCTCGTTTTGCCCACCTTGGAAGCATGGAAGGCTGAGTCAACCTTGAGCCTGGTGGGATTTGAACTGCCAAACTGTAGGTAGCTGGCTGCAGAAGTAGCTTGCAGTACTACACTCTTAACCACTGCTTCTGTCTCTCTATTAAATTAAGGGTTGCAATAGCCGATGGATGAATTATGCACCGAGAAACAGGGAAGGAAGCTGTATTGAAAATTTGCTTTTAACAAATCATTATTTTTTAAATAAATTACTCATTTGTAATTTGACTGTCCCAAAGTCCCCTGGTTGGTTTTCACGCTTGAAATGAAAGCCAGTTGTGTCCCAGAGGAGACAGTGAGTTCTGGTCCTACCTTAAACATTAAAGCTAGTCGGGTGACTTTGAACCAATCACCAGGTGGTGTTGAGTTCTAGTCCCACCTTAAGCGTGAAAGGTTGTTGGGTCCTGGACCAATCACCGTGAGACAATGAGTTGTAAGGTAAAAGTTCCCCATGCACATATGTGTTAGTCGTGCTATTCATTGCAGTCTCTAGGGGGCAGTGTTCTTCTCTGTTACAAAGCTGAAGAGCCAGCGCTGTCCGAAGACGTCTCCGTGGTCATGTGACCAGCATGACTAAATGCCGAAGATGCACGGAGCGCTGTTACCTTCCCACCAAAGGGGTCCCTATTTTTCTACTTGCATTTTTTAAGTGCTTTCAAACTGCTAGGTTGGCAGAAGCTGTGACCAGTAATGGGAGCTCCCTCCGTTACGTGGCGCTAGGGATTCAAACTGTTGACCTTTCTGGCCAACAAGCTCAGCATCTTAGCTACTGAGCCACTGCGTCCCTTGTCCCACCTTAAACGTGAAGAGCAGCTGGGTGATTTTGAGCCAGTCACCAGGTGGTGGTGAGTTCTAGTCCCATCTTAAACATGAAAAACAGCTGGGGGGGGTGGACTTTGAACCAATCACCAGGAGGTAATGAGTTCTAATCTCTCCTTAAGCATGAAAGCTGACCGGGTGACTTTGGGTCACTCACCAGGTGACTGTGAGTTCTTATCCTATCTTAGCCATGAAAGGAAGGTGGATAACTTTGGGCTAGTCCCTCTCTTTTAGCCCAGCCCACCTCACAGGGTTGTTATTATTGTGGGGAAAATCACCACCTTGAGTTATTTCTAAGTATAATAAAGGCGGGATTAAAAAAAAAAAGTAAAAATAAATAAAACAGTTTCACTGCACATCTCATCTTTATGAAATCTTTTTTTTTTTTCCCCTAGTTTTCTCACTGGTCTGTTGGTCCTGCGACAACGTCGAATCGAACTCGCAGTGCTGGGGGATGCAAACCTGCTCTGAAGGGGACAATTACTGCGCCACCACGTATAGTGGTGGTGGGATTGGTATGTTACTGTGGCATGTTGAAATGGCAGGAGGACCATATCACTTCCTCCATGGGTTGGACTGCTAAATCAGGGGTCCCAAAACTTTAGGCCACAGCCCGCTCCCGGGCCGTGGCCTGTTCGCAACTGGGCCGCATGAGTGGAGGGTGTGTGTGCCTGTGCGGTCTGTCTCACGCAGCGGGGGTGCCGGTGCTCGCAGCTCTACTCATGCGCACCCGTTGCTCACACAAATGAAGCTGGGTGTGATGACCCAGGACAAGGCACAAAGGTCACACACACACTGCTGAGAGTTCAAACTCCCCTTTAATGCTCCAGATTTTCCCCCAAACGCTCCCAGTTTTGTTTGGCAAGTCCCAGAGCAAAGCACGCACACAAACACACAGCGGCCTCTAGCTGCTTCCCAGTCCTCCCGAGTATTTGGGTCGGCCTGCGCTGTTCCTGCCTTCTCTCCACTCTCCGTGCTCATGGATCAGGAGGGGGTGGTCCTTGCTCATCACCTGAGCTCCATTCCTCCTCCTGTCCACTGCTTGCCCTCCTCCTGTCCTCTTTCCTCCCTGCTTACAAGCTGTCCCAATCCTGAGGGGCCCCGGGCTGCCTCGGCCTGCTCCTCCCCACATCCCTCTAAAGCCAGTGAAGCCGCCCCCCTCGATCTCTGTCAGCTCCGTTGTCCTCCACAGATTCAGGCTCCCCTGCGTGTGCGCATGTGGGTGAGCCTAACCCTGGCCCAAAACCATCCCCGCTTTCCGCCCACCTGCGCTGGGCCAGCAATCCAGAAAGTTTGGAGAACCTGGAACTGAGGGATATTGTGTTTTTTTCCCAACTGTTTCCCCCGCCACCTCTTCTCACTGTAAATATATGTCTCCCGTTGTCACGTGGTCGTCCCCTTTTGCAACCTTCTGACATGCAAAGTCAACGGGGAACCCAGGTTCCCTTAACTATTGTGTTACCAACTTAGGAAGGCAGTGATTCGTTCCAACAACCGCATCAAGGAAGGTCGTAAAACGGGCCAAAACCTACTTAACGCCTGCCCCACTTAGAGCAATGGAACTTTTGGGTTTAATTGTGGTTTTTTACGTTGAGGTTACTTATTGGCTCCAACCCTGAAGCCTCTCTCTGTTAACAGTCTGCTTGTTCTGACCCAGCTCTCCAAACGCTACAAACCCTCTGAAGTTAACCCAAAAGATTCCGTGGTTAGGAGCCCCGGCAAAAGTTGCTTTCTCACTGCAGGCTAACAAGGACAGATGATGAATAGTTGTCTGCCACACCTCCGCCGCCTGCCTTTTATCCCCAGAGCTAGGCTGGGGGCTTCGCTAACAAGCAGTGGCTTTTCCATCCCAATGACCGGCCTATAGATTTCCACTGCTCTCCTCTCCTCTGCCTTCTGTGCATCTGTGCTTCAGGCAATGGACCCAGCTGTTCTTCCTCTTCCTCATCAGCCACTTCCAGACCTGGGGGCTGTTGACTCTCCCATCTGAGGGGTGATGGACGGCCCAGGCTCTGCCTCTGCCTCTCTGCCGGCTCCATTCCCTCTGCCCCCCTCGGAGTTCCCAGGTTGCCCTAATGCGGACGCTGACTCCCACACCTCCTCTGATTCGGCTGTTTGAGGGGGCCAGCAGCCGACAGGCCCCAACCCCGTTGGTTGTATGTGACTGGCAGAAAGTCCACAAATGTCTTCTGTTCTTCCATAAACGCTCAAAGAGGTTTAACCTTCTTTCTTATTCCCTCCTTCCCCCTTCCCGACAGGTGGATATTCCACTCAATCGATCAGCAAGGGCTGTGTGCCAGTTTGCCCCAACGTCGGGGTCGATATTGGCATCGCCGCCATATCTGTCCACTGCTGTTCCTCCTTTTTGTGCAACATCAGCGGGGCCAACAGCATCCAAATCAACCACTTGGTGTTGGCCTTGGCTCTGCTTGCAAGTTTCTTCTATCTCTTCGGATCCAGGCTGTGATGTGGCGGTGCATCCCTCTGGCTGCATCAAGCGGATGAACGAGGCTTTCCAGAAAATTTGTGTCTCGGGAATGCTATTCTCTTTTCTGCTTTTTTTAATCTGAGATTTTATTAGGTTTATGGAAATCCTTTTTTTTTTTATCGGGGGTGGGGGTGTTGTGTTTTCTTGCGTTGCTTTGGGTTGTCAGGAGGTGGAGGCACAGCTAAAAAGAGAGAATCTTTGGGCCATAACTTCTCCATTGAACTTTTTAAAAGATGTGTGGACTTCTGGGAATGGAAGTCCACAGGTCTTAACCTCAATGAGTTCTAGAAACACCGCTCTACGCCGCTGTGGCAAAGTTTGAAATCATTTCAGAGGCCTTAAAATGTTTTTGCTTGGGTGAGAAGATATACACAGAGTTTTGGATGGAGGTCTGTTATGCAAACGCATTTTTGTCTGTTACAATCACACTGTTAGCATTTGAACCCATTAAAATATATTACATTTTACATTAAGCATGATTGTGTGGCGCTGCTGCTGTGGGCCTTTTCAATGGAATAAACACTTGGATTTATAACGACTCCCTTTCTTGTTTCTCTTTGCTTTCCTTGCCATGTCCCATTACTGTCAGGGCTCCAACAAATCCACCCCCGTTCAAATCGTAAGTCTCTAGCCGCATCTCTCAGAGGAAAAAATAAGATTTATTAGGAGTGAACATGTCGGCATTACCTGGGTGCAGCCAACTCTAAGACACATCATTCATTTCAGCCTTGATCCTGGTCTTCCCCCCACTCCCTGGATGTATATTCTCCAATGGGACACATCCATAGCCAAGAGTCATCAATCATGCTCTCCAGTAATATTCTTGCACGCCCGACAGCTTTGGGCTGCCAAGGTATTTGAGGGGTGCACTGCTGTCCCCCACTCGCTTTCTACTGGCAACTAAAAAGACCAAAGGAGTATTTTTTTAATTGACAATTACGATTTTTCAGGATAATTTTTTTTTAGGGTGCTGATTATTCAATTTTTTTATTGGCGTGCCCTGTTCTCAGGGGAGCCCTGAAAAAAAATCAACAGACACATGATTACATTAGGGCGTAGGGATGGAAGGGACCTTGGAGGTCTTCTAGTCCAACCCTCTGCTCAGGCCAGGGATATCTTACAACCGGAAAGCCCAGTTGCCTCCTGGAAAAATCATCTTTGGGACAAGGATAACCTGGATGACTGAGTTTCTATACAAACATCCATCACTTGAGGGTTTTTGTAGAATCAGGGTATTCAAGTTTGATAAATTCAGGATTTCCAAATAGCGAGGCAGTCCTTTTTAGGTATTGCTCCAAGGGCTCCAATCACAATTGGGATAACACAGGATGATTTGTTTTTCCAAAGTCGCTCAACTTCAATTTATAAGTCCCGATACTTTGTGATTTTTTTCTTGCTGCGTGTCCACAATTCGTGCATCACCAGGTCTTGCAATGTCAATGAACCAAACCCTTTTTCTTTTCAACTATTGTTACGTCAGGCGTGTTGTGGGCGAAGTGCCTGTCCGTGTGAATTCTGAAGTCCCACAAGATCTTGATTTTTTCATTCTCCAAGACCTTCACAACCTGATGTTCCCAGTAGATGTTACTATACTATTGTTGTTGTTGTTATTTGCTGGAAACCACAGAATCACAATCATGTCCCCATAGGACACCGCTAAAATGATCCCCAAAGGCAGTCATGGGCTCTAGGTATAGGGTGTGTGTGTGTGTGTGTGTGTGTGTGTGTGCGCGTGCCTTTTTCCATGTGTCACATAGGCAGAGGCATGCTTCTGTAAAGTCCTTTATTATTCTGTTCAATTCCACAACAAATGGCCCGGTAAGGCTCCACCCCTCAAACTTCTCTGAAGGCTCAGAGACCCACAAACAAAAACCAGTAAGCAACACAACCAATTTGCAAAAAAAAAAAAAAAAAAAAAAAAAGCAGAGAGGAAGTCCAAAGACAAGGTGTAAGCTCCCCGGGCAAGGTCCAGGGAGTCAAGATAAGACCACGAGGCAAAGCGCAGGCAGAAACACAAGTCAAAGCTTGAGTTTTTCCAAATTGAGTGTGTGTGTGTGTGCGTGCCAAAGCAAACAATCGTTCCCAACAAAGATGATCGTCCTCCAGCATCTGCTTAAGCCGAGCTGTATTGATTACCAATATCTTTACAGGTGCAACTCAAGAGTGCTGGCTATCACCTTAAAAGCCATTCATGGTTTTGGGCCAGGTTTACCCAAGGGGTAGTTTTCTCCCTGTCATTTCTCCCTCTCTATAGTTTGGCCTGCCAGGTGGGACATATTATAGGTCCTTTCAGCCAAGGAATGTTGGCTGGCAGGGACTAAGAGATAACACCTTATCTACTGTAGCCCCTTGCCTTCTGGAATATTCTCCCTTCGGAGTTCAGGGTGACCTCAACTCTGTTGAATGTTCACAAGGCTTGGTCGTGTGTCCAGGGCAGAAGAAGACCAGAGCGTGCTGGCTGGGGAATTTGGGGACTTTTAGAAGTTCATGTATCTTCAAGTTGCCAAAGTGGAGATCAGTTGAGTTGGATGCAGTCCATAGTTACTTGATTGGGAAAATCACCAATCAGAAGACTCTGGAGCCCTTCTGACTCCAACGGAACATTAACCGTACAACAATGACTTGTTCCATGGCAGTTTTCAGGCTGTATACTGTTGAAAAGGCTTGGCGTAACTCCAAAAATATTTCAGGGGTCTATTTGAGGAAGGCACAGGAGCAGTCGAAAAGCAGGTAAGGGATGATAGATCTGGAACTGGACGTTTGATTTAACCATATCGAATGCTGAGATGTATGTTTACGGCCTAGTTATACTTACAGTTTATAAACCAATACATCAAGAACATAACCATAGTTCCATCGATTGAAAAAAAAACAAATCGTACCAAGAAAGCAAAATTTTAAATAGAAACTTAATCAAGACCCACAGTAAACAGACCGTAACAAAACTCGAGTTTCAAGTTTTAAAATTGTAAGTGAAAGCAAAATGTAAAATCACCGAACCTGTTGTTACACCAGTCAGATCCCACCTCTGGATGGAGTGTTCTCATTTTTCCAATATTGTGCAAATACAATCCTTGCAGCTGTCAGTACATGCAAAACTAAATGGACAATCCCTTTATCATAATCCTCTGGCATTATATCCAACAAAAATATTTCTGGCTTCAGTTCTATATGTTGCTTAATCATCTTTTCCATACATGTATGTATTTTTGTCCGATATTTTCTTGCTTCCGTGCAAGTCCACCACATATGACAATAAGTACCTGGGTTTAATTATACTTCCAACATTTGGCGGACACATTGCTAAGCATTTTTGCTAATCTTGCCCCAAGCAAATGCCACCTATAAAACTGTCAAGTCTCTTCTTGTTCTGACCCAAACCTTGTTCCAAGGAAACAAACACGAAACAGAGATAACGGCAAAACCTTTTAATGGTTCTTTGCGAATTCCGTTCCTTCACGGTTAAAAGGCTGTTTCTAACTAATTGTCTCTGATAAGAACAGCCTTGCCAAGGTTGTGCAAGGCTGCCAAGAACACTAGATAAAAGTTTTTAAGAAATATTTCAAACACAAAGAGTCTCCAAACACCAACCAAGATATTCTGAACGTCCGCAAGGCTTGAGTGCAAAAATTTCTTTGCTTCCTGCAAAGAACTCCAGTTTCTCGGCTGGCTTTTATCTCTTAAGGGAGGGGCCGTTACCTTTCAGCCTTACTCCCAAGTTGCCTGTGCTACTGCAGCTGCTCTTCCCTTCAAGCAGCCCTGCACTGAGCACAGGCTCCTCGGGGGACTCTTCCTCACTGCTGCCAGCCTCCACAATCTCTGAAGGCAGCATTCCACTCCCTGATGGTCCTGGCCCCATCCCTGCCTCACACGCAGGCCCCTCATCTGAGTCCTTGCTCTCCGAGACCTCAGCCATCCACACCTCCTGCCGGTGAACCACAACACTTCTTGAGAATCTCCAGTGATGAAACACCCATAAGTTCCCTTCCAACTATGTAGTTCTGTTAAGGGTGTTACTCAGAGCTCAGCATTCAATCCTGGAAACACTAACACGCTGACCTAAAAGTGTGTCTCCTAGAACTACTTATGAGGATAAAAGGGGAAAAGTTGAGGTCTTTGTCCTCTCCTCACTCCTTATAGATTGTCAGTTCTGTTGAACAGCTGAAAAGCCCGGTAGAAAAGCATGGAGCTAGCTCTATTAGCCCAATAGCACAAGGCAACAGAACAATTAGGGTAATGGTGGAAATACCAAGGTAGACATTAGATGGTGCCGTTTTCCTGCTGTTGGCTAAGCTGTTCTCCTGCAACTTCCGAAGTCCGTCTTTGAACACATCAGGTCCAGTGAGGTGCAAGTTGGAAAAGGGTACATAATCAAAGTGGGTTTTGCCCTCACTTGAAAATTAATCTGCTTGTAGTTTCTTCAGAAGACTCCAGGAAACTCCTGAGGCTCCTTGGGACTGCAAGGTGATCCAACCGGTCAGTCTTAGAGGAGATCAACCCTGGCTGCTCTTTACAAGGCCAGATCCTGAAGATGAAACTCAAAAGACTTTGGCCACCTCATGAGAAGGAAGGACTCGCTTGAGAAGAGCCAGATGCTGAGAACGACTGAGGGCAAAAGAGGAAGAAGGGGACGGCAGAGAATGAGGTGGCTGGATGGAGTCACTGAAGCAGTCGGTGTGAGCTGAAATGGACTCCGGAGGATGGTAGAGCACAGGAAGGCCTGGAGGAAACGTTGTCCATTGGGTCGCGATGGGTCAGACACGACTTTGCAAGTAACAACGACAAGTTTCTCCAGGCAAGGAGAAGAACTGGGTTAATCTATTGTGGTACCACTTTTTTTCCAACTCACCCATTTGTCTTTGGAGAGTCTCAGTCATCCAGGTCATGGTTGTTCCCAAAAGTGTGTTTGTTTCAAGATGGCAATTGGACTCCCTTTGTTTTTCCATAAAGACGTTTCACTTCTCATCCAAGAAGCTTCTTCAGTTCTGACTGGATGGTGGGGAACGGAAGGGTTTACATTCCTTGCTATCATCTGGTTGTTAGCACTCTCCCTGAGAACTTTTGAGGCCACTTGGGGGGGTGCATCTGAACATGGGAATGAAACACCTTTCAGGAGCCCCAAGAAGCTTCCGCACCCAGTTGCATTTTAATTCAGGTGACACTGAAGGTTACAGATAAACCCCCAGGTGGTCTCAGCCACCCTCAGAGAGCCAACAATTGACCTTCAGACGACTGCAAAAAAATACAAATTTTTCCCTTTCCCACCAGTCAGTTGGAACCGAGGAAGCTTCTTGGATGAGAAGTGAAATGTTTTCAAGGGAAAAAAATACCCAAGGAAGTCCAGTTACCTTTTGGAAAAGCACCTTTGGGTTATGGACCCAAGCGGTTTCTCTCAATTCTTCTCCCATGCTAAAATTCAGCTAGAGCTGAAGAACTTTCCTGCAAATCAAAAACTTTAATGTGGTCTTCTATTCTCAAATTTACCTCCTTGACATAAAAATCAATCAACCCATCAGAATAGAGCTGAAAAGGACCT